GCCAGCAATGCGGACCAGGCTCTGACACCAGTCATACAGGGACCTAACAGCCCATATCAAAGGATCTGGTATACTGGTATACCCATACTCCCAGAGTACCCCCCACAGGGTTCCCCGAGGGATGTGGCCGAACGCCTTCTCCAAGTCCACAAAGCACATGTTTGTGGACTTGGAGACCGGTTGGTCAAACTCCCACACACCCTCCAGGACCCTGCTGAGAGTCTAGAGCTGGTCCAGTGTTCCACGGCCAGGAAGAAAACTGCACTGCTCCTCCTGAATCCGAGGTTCGACTATCCGACGGATCCTCCTCTCCAGAACCCCCGAATAGACCTTACCAGGGAGGCTTAAGAGCGTGATCCCCCTGTAGTTGGAACACACTCTACGGTCCCCCTTTTTGAATACGGGGACCACCACCCCGGTCTGCCAATCCAGGGGAACTTCCCCCGATGTCTACACAATATTGCAGAGTCGCGTAAGCCAACACAACCCTACAACATCCAGAGCCTTAAGGAACTCTGGGCAAATCTCATCCACCCCTGGGGCCCTGCCACCGAGGAGCTTTTTAACCACCTCGGTGACCTCAGCACCAGAGATTGGAGGGCCCGACCCAGAGTCCCCAGGCTCCGCTTCCTGAGTGAAAGACGTGCCGGTGGGATTGAGGAAGTCTTCAAAGTATTCTGCCCACCGACCCACGACATCCCGAGTTGAGGTCAGCAGCACACCACCCCCAATATAAACAGTGTTGGTGGTGTACTGCCCCCCCCGAGACACCGGATGGTGGACCAAAATCGCCTCGAAGCCATGCGGAAGTTATTCTCCGTGGCCCCTCCAAACTCCTCCCATGCCCGAGTTTTTGCCTCAACAACCACCCGAGTCGCATGTCGCTTGGACCACCAGTACTGATCAGCTGCTTCCGGGGTCCCACAGGCCAAAAAGGCCCAATAGGACGCCTTCTTCAGCCTGACAGCATCCCTCACTGCCGGTGTCCACCACCGGGTTCGAGGGTTAAAAAAAAGTAAAAAGCTAAGAAAAATAGAAAAGGCTGTTAATTTTATTTTATTTTATTTCTTTTATGGGTGTTTTCATCATATTGCTGTGAATTTAAGAAAACAATTCATATTATATATTAAATCCCCTATCCATCAGGATAATTTTAATGTTTAGTTTCACAAAGTAAACTGTATGAAAAGCTATATTGCACATATTTGCACAAAGGAAATGGGGGTAAAATTAAATTCCCACCACGACAGAATTCAAAATGAACACAAATGTGACAAAAAAATTCTTGCAAAATTACAGATGTTTGTCACAAAATGTAAATGACAATCCCATAAAGTTGATTCACATCTGTGAGAGCTGGAATCGCACTTGACTAGTGTGTGGATGTGTTATTGTCTGTCAGTCAAGCTGGTGTTGTTCCACTGTGGGTGGGGGGGCTTTTACGTATGCTTTTCTCCCATAGGGGCCCGGTAGCTTCATATCCTTGACCTAAACACTTCTTCCACCACTCATGTGTGGTTCATTGGAAAACTGTATGCTGAAAAGTCAAAGTGAGTTTAAACATTCTCATATGTTTAAAGTTTTATTAGTAGTTCAAGTAAAGAGGAGCTTGGACATGCTGCAATGCTGCCAGCTCGCCTGGTGGTTCCCCCTCAGTTTTCTGCCCTGCAGCCATCAAACCAACAGCCCCCTCTCCCTCTCCGCCTCTGTGCGATCGTCTCTCCACCCCTCTCCACTCCCTCTCTGGCACAGCGGCTCGGAGCTCATGTGTCTCGTACAGTACGGAGCGCGCCAGAGAGGGAGCTCTACCCCGAGTGACGTCACCTCTCCCATGGCGTCACATTGACGTCGCGCATACCTATGTGGAGGCTGAGCGCAGATAAAATGCACTATTTGACTTTCTCCCCTTCAGACGGCGCGTATAAACAAACCCGCGTTACAACTCTGCTAAGCACCCATCAGCACTGACAGACCGCTCCGGGGAACGGACTCAGACACGCTTGAACTCGGGAGTTTCAACTTTTATTTATCTATACACTTTTTTTTTTTTTTTTTAACTCTAACAGTTTTTTACGTGTTTTGTATGCTCTAGAAGAAAGTCAGAAGAGGATCGTCAACTTTTTCTATTTGAAATCTCTGATGACTTTGCGCCCTCAGAGCATTTTAAGCCACTCTTCTCGTCTTTATTTCAAACCTTTGTGGTTATTCTGGATGGAAACGGGACCCCTAATGTAAAGACGGAACCGTCACAGCAAACCAGTAAGTACACTCTGAATGAATGAATGAATGGATGGATGAATGGCTTCTTATAGTTGTGTTATAATAATGCTCAAAATCACTAAAAGCGCGCGCCATATGGAGCATTTCTCAACGTCTTTTGCGCCTGTAACCTGTTGATGTGTCCCTAAAACTCCAGCTGCTCCTCTAAGAGCTGTGTGGCGTTTCCAGATGAGGCTGAACTCGAATTCAATTTGCGCCGGGAAGGTATCATATCCTTTCCGGTTGTCATGGAAATGAGATGCCTCTCAGCCACACAAAGAGGAGTGCAGGAGTCAGACGCACAAATGGGTCTGAGTGGAGAATTGTCCAAGCTGCATTCAGCAGGAGCTGAAGAGGAGCTGATGCTGTTAATGAGAGGCTTTTCAACGGCTTTGAGTTTTATTTATTTATTTATTTATTTATTTATTTATTTATTTATTTATTTATTGTCATGGTGTGTTTGACTTTACACATAAGTGAACGACTTTACTGTGATCAGACTAATAAGTGGTCATAATATAATGGTCGTTAGTGGTTAGTGGTCATGGAGTTTCCTGGCTCCACTTGTGCCAGAATAAAACACACACATTCAACCACAGCCACGTTCAGTCTCAGCCCTGAAACCACGTGACGACACAAGATCATCTCCAATAGAAAACTATGTTGAGTTGCTTAAACTTGTTGATTCTGTCTCTTTTTGTCTCTCTCTCACACACAATCTCAACTTTACGCACGCAGGCAGACACCTCTCCCCCCCCCC